AGCAACGATGATCAGGGTAAAAACAAACTGAAAACGTCCTTCATGCTACTTTGAATTTGATGGAAAGAAGCATTAGTATTGGAGGGGCACCCAATCACCACATGGTCGGCATACTTATAGATAATAAAGCTAGTGGGGACAGGAAGGTGGTTCATGTACCGGGAAAAAATGAAGGGGGGCAAAATGGAGCCCTGGAAGACAACAGAGTTAACAGCAGAAGAGTACGATGTTCAAACATTCCATGAGGTAAATTTTGTCTTAGAAGAAAGTAGTTGACAAGATCATTTATTGCGTCGGATCCTAGGCGGCAGTCAGCAGAGACCTGCAGGTTCTGGTCCCACTGTATAAGGCTATCGTCAAGTCAAGTCAAGTCAAGAAAAGCTTGATTTGACTTGACTGGACTTGACGATCGTCCGGCCACATCTGGAGTATTGTGTCCAGGCATAGGCACCATACTTACAGAAGAACCTAGATTGCCTGGTAAGAGTTCAACGGCTAGCCACCCGAATGTTATGTGGTCAGAACAGCAAGGATTACGAGGACAGACTTAAGAACTTAAACTTAAACTTTTTCCTTCGACGCAGACGGATGAGGGGCGACTTCATTGAATCGTTCAAAATAATGAACGGTCTGTCAGGCATCAAAGCGAGGAACTATTCTCTGCGATCCCGGCAAGTGGCACCAGGGAGCATAGCTTCAGACTTCATCGTCATCACAGCAGGCTGCAACTCCGGGCGAGATTCTTCACCAACAGGGTGATCCCAACTTGAAATAGGCTGCCAGAACACGTGGTCAGATGCAGCACAGTAGTGGCATTCAAGACCGCACTGGATGAATGTTGGAGAACCGTCTACCGAGAAGCGGCCTACCGAGGAGTAAGAAAATAGTCGATAATGCTTGATGTTACAGATGTTTATGTATCCTAGAGGAAGGTGTTTTCTGTTAGATATTTTCTGTGAATCTATCAGGTGCCAACATTTTACATTTTATGACAATTCCGCCAGGTGTCAATGGTCAGGATCAGGGTCATCCACGCTAACCTATGGAAGCTTGGCCCAGGCCTAGACCGTTGAGTCTTATCTGTCTATTTTCAGAAACACCGCAGCTGGGAACGTATACTGAGGACAGAGACAACTAGACCTACTAACNCGCTGGAATCGACAATACGCAGTGTTGGAAGCTACAAACACCCGCCAACAACACAAACTCTGGACGCTCGATTGGCTGGAAGCCACATTTCGTCCTGTTCTTACCGAACCGAACTGGACTGCAACTGGACTGAACATTGTTTTTTAAATGTGCAGCAGTTCTATTGTTGTGTAGACGCTGTTTGAAGCGGTATTTCGTAGTCAATATCGAAAAACGTATGCAAAGGGCCACAATCTCTTTTAGACCAGTTCATTATGTATTCATGTCATCGTTTCATCAATTGTCATTCGCCTCTCTGTTTCTCTTCCAGACATGAATGCTATTCAAGTGATGCTGCCTAACCAACCTCATTCAACCACCGAAGACCTGTGCTTCGCACTACGTCTTCTCCCTTTGGAGGGTTGATCGATACCATTCTCGTCTGACTGTTCTTGTGTGTGCGCCAGGATATTTTGTTGATGTCTGCCCAACGATCCTTTTCAGATCACAATCGTCTGTGTGACCCAAACCTGCGTCTGTCTGTTACAAATTTGACGACGGGAATGGGATCTCCGAGGAAAGATTGTGGAAATTACAGCGACGACGAAAGTGCTAGCCCTCCGACTGTCAGGACGCGTCTATCGCAAGTCACATTCAAGGCTGCGCCGGCAATACATTTGGAGCCGCCACCGCGATTTGAAGCTGGAACAAGTTTGACACTATGGCAGACGAAGATGCAAAGCTTCCTGCGTCGAGTGCCGACAGAAGAACACAGTCCGTGTATCCTGGATCGTTTAAGTGATCACATACAAGAATTACTGATCAACGAGAACGTGAACGAAGACTCCCCCCCAGAGTCCATATGGAACAGCTTTTGGGAATTGTTTCCAGGTCAGGTCAACCACCCCTCCCTCCGACACCAATACTGGCGAAGAGACCAAAGACCGGGGGAGTCGGCGGAACAACATGCGAATGAATTAAGAACACTGGTCAGTCGAGGGTTTCCAGAGAAGTCCAAGGAAGTCCAAAGGGAGTTTGCTCTCGAGCGGTTCCGAGAGGGAATGCTGAATCCCGTTGCCAAGCGTGAGCTCCAGGGGCGAGCCCCACCACGCGAGCAACTCGCGGGTCAACGGCCCCAGATTCGAAGCACGAGTCCCCTGGCGCACCAAACCCCAGAGATACGGTGGAACGGCCCGCAGGTGGCAACAACAGGAACCAAGCGAGTCATCATTGCGTTCTGTTTATTCGCCGATTATACGTGGACCAATGGAATCACAGTGTTTTCCCCTACTCCTTACTGTTGGTCTCAGAGGTGGGTATGTTAGCGCTTTGGTCTACACAGGAGCCACGTGTAGTCTTATTGACGTAGATCAGTGTCAGATTCGTGAGCTAAGCCGAGACGGCCCTCGAGTGAAAGCCGTCAATGGGTCTCCTCTCCAAACCTGGGGCTGTCTGGATGTCGAATTGCAGATGGCGGGGACCAAGGTCAAGCATTTCATGGTGGTCGCCTCGAAACTGCCATGGAAGATGATATTGGGAATTGATTTTCTACGCCATTTTGAAATATGCCTCGTCCTGAGTAAGAACATTCTAACCTTCGACGGGAAAAAATTCACATGGGATCAGGAAAGGAAGCGAGGAGAATTGGGCACTGGAACTTTTCNCACCGTGGATCTCCCTGGCCAGGTGTCGCACATGGTAGAGACTACCAGGGAACTATTGAGCGAAAAACATCAAGGGAGATTGAAGGCGATGATAGACGGCCGCAAATCGGTGTTTGCCTGGGACGGTGTACCTTTGGGTCGTACCTAAGTAATTCAACATCGCATCGACACGCAAGGAGCCGCGCCCATCAAACAAC